GTGAATCGCCCTCGACTCGAGGCGACCGAAGGCGCCTTCCACATCCTGAGAGCTGGTGAGGAGTCCCGCCCGACGATCTTCATGGTGCTGGTGACAGATTGTTGAAAGTTCATAGCGCTGTGACGAAGCCAAGCACACATACGCACACACACACATGCATACGCAAACACACGCACACACACACACACACACACACACACACACACACACACACACACACACACACACACACGCACGCACGCACACACACGCACACACACACACACACACACATGCAGATGTACACACACACACACACACACACACACATGCATATGCACGCGCACACACACATACATGCATACGCACACGCACGCACACACACTCTTACTGAAGCTGCTGTGCCATCCACGCCACCGCGACCTGCTGCCCCCCGACGCGCCGCCGACTCCTCCGCCCACAAACTGGTGCCCATCGTGGCCCCGCAATGCCCGCGACCACCGGAGCACAATACCCACTCTAGTCCGACTCATCAACGAGCACTAGTCAATGGACCGCCCGCCACACCTCTTCCACGAGCACTAGTCCACTATTACTAGTCCAGCAGTCCTAGCTTACCTGTACTTGCACTTGTCTTGTTATTTTGTTTCTCTTGCTTCTTTTGTTGTTATTTTCTCTATAGATTGTTTGTTTATTTTGTTGTTTGTTGTTTATATCTGTTTCTCTATAGATTGTTTGTTTATTTTGTTGTTTGTTGTTTATATCTGTTTATGTATATATAGTTTGTCCATTCTTTTTCTGTACTTTTATGTATATTTTCAGCCCCTGGCTACGTGAGATTCAATAAACCCATTATTATTATTATTATTATTATTATTATTATTATTATTATCATTATTATTATTATTATCATTATTATTATCATTATTATTATCATTATTATCATTATTATTATCATTCACACACACGCACCCTCACATGCACACGCACGCACTCGCACACACACTCACGTACACGACACCGCTATGCAAATTTGTCGTTTATTCTATCGTTTCATGACACACAGGGAATATCATGCATGCCATCAAATATACTGCATACCAAAAATATAATGAAACTAAAATTCATAAATATCATAAAAAATAAACGCCATTATGTGTAAGATATTCAACAAAGGTAAGATAACCAAAAAAGAAAATCGTTAATGGTTACAAAGCGAAATATGTAACAAACATCAAAGGTCATATAGCATTATAGTAAGGTGTAATAATGAAACGGGTAAAGAAGGGGATTAATTGATGATTAAATGTGCAACACGTCAGAAGTCGTAGAGAAATTCAGGGAGGTAGAGATTATTAGGTCAAAGTTGCCGAAGGAAGGCGTGTGGGATATTGCAAGGAGGTCCGTAGGGCAAGGCAGGGAATGGGAAAGGAGAGAAGGGTTTAAGGGCAATTAGATTGATTAATTGATTGATTTAAGGGCAATTAGTTTTGTGTGAGCATACCAGGAGGGAGAAAATCCAGGGCAGGGGGTTGGCTGTGACAAAGGGTCATATCCAGGGGGATGTGGGGGGTGGGGCGTAATGGGGAAGGAGTTGGGGATGATGTAGCTGAAACAGGAGGAGGGGGGGGAGGGGGGGCTGGGATGTGTTGGGAGGGTGTAGGAGGATAGGGGTGCAGGGGGAACATGAGTAGGAGATGGTAGATGTCGACAGTTACTTTTGAGTGTAGAAGGAATTCGAAGGGTGAATGAGGTGTAGGTATGTTATCCTGGGACATGATTAGATCGGTTTGAATGTCTTCGAGAGTTTCCACAGTGGAGTCGGTGGGGGAGGTCTGAGAAACAAAGGTTTATTTATGGGGGGGAGTGAGGGGGAGAGGGGACAGATGTTTGAGGGGTGGAGGGAGAGGTTGATGGAAAGGTTCGGGTAGATGGGATGGAGCGTTTGGCTTGTCTTGTGCGATGATTTGGGCGAGGAGGAAGAGGGGTAGGTATCTGGGAGGTAGTGATTGGAGTGCCTGGAATAGTGGAGGAGATTAGGGTGTCGGAAGTGGGATGAAGAAGAGATGCTGGGGGAGATGTAGAAACATCTTGGGAAGAAAGGGAGAGGGGGAGATCAGTCACACTATAAAAAAAAATATATGTAAACCGCCCTTCGCCTTCACTCAATTTCCCTCTCGTCCTTTATTGACCCCAGAAGCTGGAGACCAGAAACTGCCAAAGTATAACGACGGTCTCTACTACGTCAGACCCGGATCGGAAAAGGCTTGGCAAGAAGCAGGCTGTCCGCTTGCGGTGGCCAGAACGCCGGACCAGCTGGAGATCTTGAAGACGGAGTTGGAGCAGCTTCCGAGTAAGGAATGGTTGATGATCGATAAATAGATAGGTAGATAGATAGATAGATGAATAAATTGATAGGTACATATATACATACGTTCATATATATGTATATGTATATATATATGTATATATATATTTACATATGTGTGTGTATATATATATATGTATATATACATATATTTATGTATATAAATATATAAATGTATATATATATATATATATATATATATATATATATATATATATATATATATATATATATATATATATACATACATATATATGACTATCTACCTTTTTATCTATATTTGCATATATACATGATTAGACTATTGGATAGATATATATACATAGACAGATGTATGGATAGCTAGCTAGCGCATCCAGGTCATTAACGTCAGTACTAATGACATGAACAACTTTTAATAATTCATCATCTTGAAAGATTACCAACTTGACAGCAGTTTCTCTCCACCAAGCCTCAGGTAATTTTATGATGTACGTGGGCCTCCGACGGGATGCCAACGGGTCTCCGGTCTGGGACTTCGGTACTCACACTGAACCTTACACCCTGGACAATGGCCTGATAGAGGACAATCTGGGGTCGTCTAATCATGCGATGTTCTACTTGCGGAAGGACACTGGTTCGGGAGAGTACAAATTCGTGGCTTCAGATGGTAATACGCCTCACTTCGTGCTATGCCAGAGGAACCACCTGAATATAATATTTTGAAGGCGCAGCAAATCCGACATTAAGAGATCTGTAATTTGGGAGAAAAAATAATAGAGTGGATAAAGGGGGAGATAAGGAAAAGAAAAGATGAAGAATATGAGGAAGAGGAGAAGAGATCAGTCACAAGGATTTATAATCACTAGTGATGGGCAATACCTTTTTTTTATCGATTACTTTTGGAATCAGTAATCAATTAGTGATCGATTACTCTCTGTCAGTCTCTCTCTCTCTCTCTCTCTCCCTCTCTCTGTCAGTCTCTCTCTCTCTCTCCCTCTCTCTGTCAGTCTCTCTCTCTCTCTCTCTCTCTCTCTCTCTCTCTCTCTCTCTCTCTCTCTCTCTCTCTCTCTCTCTCTCTCTCTCTGAGTAATCACTTGGCAATCGATTACTGGAAACTATAATCAATTACTGAGAAATTCCACTAGTCTTCTTCTGTAGTTCACTCCTGTCTTTATACGAGGCCACTTAAATCTCCCCTCAGAGGCAGACACAGCAGAATGATCGGCATCTCAGCTTGTTTTTACAGCCGGATGCCCTTCCTACTGCCAACCGTCCCCATTCATCACCCACCACTAGTAATTACTTGTATTCTAAAAATAGAATGACGTTGGCACATCTGGTTGATATATTCCAAAAGACAAGTACAGCTTTGAGGACCACATTCACTATCTGTATTTTTAAGTCTAATGAAAGGAAATATAGCCACAAAGTGAAAAGAAAGTGAATGTAACATTTCAAAGGAAATGCTTCCTTTTGTTTTTTGCTTTGTTTGAAGAGGATCTCTTGACGAATTCAAATCATTACGTTCAATTTCTTTTCATATTTCCTTTCACCTGTGTGCACATTACTGTGTTTATGTCCATTATAATCTCATTATGCACAAAGTAGTAAAAATAGGTGAATTGTTAAATCAAAAAGTAGAATGTAGAGGGTCTTTTTCATTAGAGGAATTTACGAGCCTATGAACCCCATTCTTCACTACCCCACACATAAACCTCCCAATGCCGTGATTACTTTCACATCTCTTGCAAAAACACACCTGATGGCCTGGTTATTTATGAGGAATTGGTGAAATTTATCACATTGCCTACACCTGGGAGAATTAACTTGCAATTAGTGTTTTACTGGTATCATTGTTAGAGTATCTGCATATATGGTTAATGTCCTGGCAGTGGCAAATTATTACACAATAATCATAGATGGTGATTGTAATGCTGCTAGCAACACTTTAATGAATGTGAATATCTTGACATTCAGAAATTAGATATAAAACAACCACATGTTTACCAATTCAAGAACTGCTTGTTCCCCACACTACAATTCATACTGTAATGCAACACTTTTAATTTTGCTAAAGCAAAAGCAACTATATGGAAAGTAAATACAAACAGTATATAATTAACCAACAAGTTTTATAAAAAAAAAAAAAAAAAAATCTTCTTCAAATAGACTGGGTTTAACATTAGAGGAAAACAGTTTTGGTCTATGGTCCTTCTGCATAATGATATTACTGAAAAGCCAATATTTTCATATTTTGATACAGCTTAGGTATCAACTTAAAATCAAATGCTTTGAATATCTTGCTTGCAGTGAGAACATCGAGATCACAGAGAGCTCTATATACCTCAGTAGTTAGGTACACAAAAGAACCAATGTGTCATTAAAGTCGTGACTAGACCTGGAAGGCCTAGAGAAATGAGAACAAATAGTGTGGAAGAAAGGCATTAAATAGATAAGAATTAGATCCTCGGTATTTTTACCGAATTAACACACTGCTGACTTATTCATCTATGTTTTTAGAAGAAAAGAAAAGAAGAAGAAAAGAAAAGAAGAAGAAAAGAAAAGAAGAAGAAAAGAAAAAGGGGTGAAGGGGAAGGGGGGGGGGGTCAAATGTTATATTCCCTTTAAATTAACTGAATATGAAGTTCTCACTGGGTATAAGAACACATGCTTCTTTTACTTATACTTTATTTGTGAATATACACAAAAATCCCTTGATGTCAAAGTTATGAACTGTTGTCTTGTACTACATCGGAATACTTACCTATGTTGTATTTCTTCAGATATGATTGAACATCATCGGTCTTCTCCTTATTGAATTGAACGTAATCTGTGTTATACTTATTGAAGACATTTTGTCATGATAACTACTCTCTCAAAATATTTTTTACACAATCCTTGTTAATACTCTAGAACTACCTTTCTCCAGGACTCAAGTTTTTGAACATTAATCAATTACTTCCTTTTGTACATTACCAACTGATACTTCGACAAGGTAAAGTTACTTGGCATGAAAAATACTTCAATTAGATTAAAATATCTTGCTGGAAATTCAGTCAGTTACTTCTGAAAAAATATAGTCCCTATTTACACAATGATACCAAACCATTTAAAAACAAGGTGCATGGAAGATTGTGTCCTGAAATCTGCTACATTTGACACAAAGTTGCAAAGTTTAGCTAGAAAACTATATAATAACTTTGTATAAAAGTACATCCATAACATTGTCTCTGCAATATTCTGATATGAAAAGGATAAGTTGAGGAACATTTTATGTCAAACAAACATGCTTTGAACAATTACAAATATCTTGTCATTGTACATTATCCTACAAGCAAGAGCATGACCAGTAGACACACTGATAAAATACCAATTACATTTTCTGAAGAACTAACAAGAATTCTATCTACACACATCTAATATCAATATTCTCAATGAATAATTATACAAGCCAAGATTTACAGTACCTGTGATCAGAGTAAACAGAATAAGCAATTTTCATATCAGCTTCATTAGCTTTCTATATTCAGTGTTAAATTCAAACATCTAACTCCTCAGAACATATCCCGAATAGAGATGCTAGAAGCTGCGATCAGATAAGCATGGAATTTTCAGAAACATCATTCCAATGTTTACATTCTGAGATATACTAATTAGACAGAAATACTGAGATTACTTTTTGCTTTTCTTATAGAAGAAAAAGAGAGAGAGAGAGTGAGATAAAGAGAGAGAGAGAGAGAGAGAGAGAGAGAGAGAATGTACATTTGAAGACTGGATCATGACAAAAGTCTTATTTACAAACTTAGCAGATACTCCACAAAGTTCTCTTTCTCTAATTGAAGAGCAATGTTGGCCTGGGCCTGAAATGGTTTTCCTGAGGCCAAGGGGCACTTCACGTCGCACCCTTGCATGGCGATACGAAACAGACTTGATATCTTTGGAATGGTCCTGAATATGGATATCAGGTAATCTGGCATCCAGACTGGTGTTGTCACTGAGAGTCGGAGGAAGAAGAGGAGGAGGAATCTGAGCTCATGACCTCCACGTCCTCCTGCTCCTTCTTTTCCACCACTGCCGTATGGCCTCCCACGTGAACCTGCAGGTCTCCTGAAGGCTGCCAACTGAAGGTTCCTCCGACGCTTGCTGACGTCGGCTCTGGAAATTGGATGATGTCAGGTAATGATCATGGGCTGGTCAACAGGCAAAACAATATATGTTATGATCTTTCATTATGTAAACTTATTAACTGGTTCACTCCTAAAGTGTAAAAAAAAAAAGCTCAACTTTTGCAATTTTTTTTGTTCTATACCTCTAGGACAATAATATATTAACATCAGAATTCACCAGGCGAAGTTTGGAAGCAATCAAATATATAATTAAAATCTGCGAGTCAGTTTAGTGGAGAAACTGTCATTGTCAATCAGATACACACTTATATGTTTCTCTACAACTTGTGTAGCTACATGTTGCTGCCTTTCATTTTCACAATGCTGAATGTAATGTGTAATCATACTGAATTCTCTCTGTTATTTTTTGTCAGCCACACTTGCAAATATTTTTTTTTTCATTACATTCAGGGACTTTATGCACCACCTCTGAAGGAGTTTGAAGTTAATCCTTCAACCGTGACTTCACTCTTATCAATGTCTAGGAATCAGCCACAGTTGACCATTTGCCCTTTTCTGCTGTGTTGTATAACTATTACTTTCCACATCACTTTTGCTGGAATTCCTGTTGTCAGTAAGGGCATACCTAATCACAGCTGAGGAGCCACACGCCAGACATGATGGTAATATATTTGCCAGCACATGGAAGCTGCCTCGAGTTATACCAAGGACCTGTTCATACTGTTTATAAGCTACACTGAGAGGTACCCTCAATCCAAGTGCAGACTCTTAGAGGGATGCTACATAAAATCAATCTACAAACTCTGCCACAACTTCTACAATTTACTTCTTTTTGGAGAATTTACAGCAGCGAAGAGAATAGCTAGACCACTGAATGCCATATGAGAGTAAACAGTGACATGAAGGCTAATAATGTAAGGCTGTAGTATGGTTGGCTCTAAGGACACCTACCATACTGCAACCTGGCCCTTGTTAACATACACCAGGAAAATACACCACACACTAAAGTAGCCTGCAGATTTTTAAATTCTTATCTGATTGCCT